ATATATATGTGTACTAAATCTTTGAGATCTGGTGTGTGTTTTTACAGCACATCTTGGTTTAGATGAGCCCTATTTCAAATGTTACACAGCCTGCTAAGAATGGTAATTACAATTTTAAATGGTTGAAAGGACATTAAAATTTTTTTGTGATGCATGAAAAGAACTAAAAGCTGCAACTAACTTGAACATAAAGGTTCATAGCAACGTTGTTCACAATAGCCAAGAGGTGAAAACACCCAAGTGTCCATGGACAGATGAGTGGATAAACACAATGTGGTTCACCTACACAATGGAATATTATTCAGCCTTAAAAATGGAAGAAAATCCTCCTGGGTTTGGGCGCGCGCACGTGTACACACACACACACACACACACACACACGGAAAGGACATTCTGACACCTGCTTCTGGGTGTGTTTCTCTCTCCGCTCTCATCCTCTCCCACTGCCCCCACCATGGGCCCTGCGCAGGACAAGCACGCGCTCCTAGACGTGACACCCTCGGCCGTGGAGCGCCTCAACTACGTGCAGTACTACCCCATCGTGGTCTTCTGCGCCCCCGAGAGCCGCTCGGCCCTCAAGGCTCTGCGCCAGTGGTTGGCGCCGGCCTCCCGCCGCAGCACCCGCCGCCTCTACGCTCAAGCCCAGAAGCTGTGGAAGCACAGCGACCACCTCTTCACAGGTAGGAAGGGATCGGGAGCGGGGGGAGGCTGGGGGTCTGGCCTGAGTCTCGGCCGCACTGACGCCCCCTCCCCGCAGCCACCATTCACCTGCAAGGCACAAGCGACGGCTGGTACCAGGAGCTCAAGGCCATTATCCGGGAGCAGCAGATGCGGCCCATCTGGACAGCCGAGGACCAGGTACCCGGCCAGGGTGTGGAGCCCCTGTTTGGGTGTAGGGGTCGGTGAGGGCTCAGGGGCATAGCCAAGGCCAAGATTTGACCTGAGATCAGGGTCTGGATCTGGTCCCTGAGGTCAGATGGGATTGGGAGACTCAATGTGGGGACTGGGGGTGGATTCAGGGGCTGGGGCTCAAATTTGGGGGCTCAGGCAAAGGGTCAATGGTCAGAACTCACCCAGGGGTCAAGGGTTAAGCCTCAACTTGAGGGGCAAGGGTCTCACCTGGTTTGAGACTGGAGTTGGAAGATGGTGTCCTGGGTCTGGGTTTGGTCTGAGATCCAGGAGGGCCTGGGCTGGGGGTTTGGGCTCAGCCAGACCACACCCACCCACAGCTGGACAGCTCCCTGGAGGACAACCTGGACCTCCCTCACCGCGGCCTGAATGACAGCTCCGCGGATCTGAGCTGTGACAGCCGGGTCAACAGCGACTACGAGACAGATGGCGAGGGCTACACGGACGGCGAGGGCTACACGGACGGTGAGGGTGGGCCCCACACAGACGTGGACGAGGGGCCCCCAGCACCAGCCCTGGGCCGGTCCTCGGAGCCTGTGCTCGTGGAAAAACCTGAGAGCCTGCGGGATCATGGGAGATCCTCAGGCCACCAAGGGGCCCAGGTGAGCAGGATGTGGGGGTGGCCCCGGCAAGGGTCTGGGGATGGTGCAGACACAGGGGAAACCTATTTTCTGCCATGATGTAAACAAACAGAAGCTTCTCTGATCAGATCAATATCTGGGACCCAGACCTATGCTTATGAACTGCTGGATCACTTATAGCAAATATTTTAATCTCGGTGCATGAAGTTTCCTTATCTGGGATACAGGGTAGGTGCTACAAGTCTTGACATCAAGGGTGGTTGTTTAAACTCAGCACACTTAGCCCAAGCCCTGTTCACAGCTGGATATTGAACAATAACATGTATTTATTTAGTTCTTATTCTACGTGGGGCTGCCTCAGCACCTGTAGTGCCTGTGAATTTGACACAGATACCCCTTCCTCCAGACCCTCTCTAGGGAAATGGAAAGATGTACAAATCTATGATGTCTGGTTGGACTCCCTGGGGCTGTGCAGTGCCCAACCTGCTCAACTGACCATGCAGCCTACTCAGGGGCAGGCACTATCCTAAGCACTTCACATGTGCGAACTCATTTAGAAACTCCTGACAGTAGTCCTCTGAAGCATTTTACAGATGGGAAACCCAATTCCCCCTTTGCTAGCAGGCTAGTGAGAGCCAAGGCCTTCCCCTGTCCCAGCCTATTTTTTCATTTAAAACTGGGGATGAGCCTGGCCAGTGTGGCTTGGTGGTTGAGGATCAACCTATGAACCAGGTCACGGTTCGATTCCTGGTCAGGGCACATGCCTGGGTTGCCGGCTTGATACCCATTAGGGAGCATACAGGAGGCAGCCGATTGATGATTCTCTCTCATCATTGATGTCTCTATCTCTCTCCCTCTCCCTTCCTTTCTGAAATCAATAAAGAAAATATAAAAAATAACAAATAATAAAATTGGGGATGAGTTGTAGACTTGTGGTGGGGGCAAGAAGAAAGCTTGCGGGTAGCATTGCCTGGGCAAAGGTGGGGAAGTGGGATGGGGATGGTTATCCCAATGTATCCTACTTTTGGGGGGTTAACCTGTTTTCTCCCTCTCCAAGGTGGACAGCTGCCACCCACAGGGTCAGTGGCGACAGGAAAGCATTCGGTAAGAGCCTCTGTACTCCAGACTGGGGCCCCTCAACCCTTCCTCTGGGACTCAGGGTTTGGATGGTGGTGAAGGAGACCTAGAACCAGGCTATGCCTTGGTGGCGCTCCTATCCTGGTAGCAAGATAGAGTTAGAGCCACTCTAAGCTCCACGCAGTCAGAGCCATGGGAGTCGGAATCCTCTCTCTGGGAAGACCGGGAAGGCTTCCTGAAGGAGGGACAGGGGAGCTGGGGCTTTGACGGCTATGAAGGAGCTCATTAGTAACCCAACCCAAATGCCCAGCCTTGCTCATCTCTGTCCACACCCAGTGTGCCCAGTACAGTCAGCCTCAGTTAACGGTAGGTAAGTCCACAGCCTCCTCATTCGCAGCCTCTGTTCTATTTCTTGACCCCCAGGACATATGCGCGCGAAGCTGTGAGGAAAAAGTTTACACAAGCCCGACACGTGGAGTCCTCCGACGAAGATGGCTACGACTGGGGCCCAGCCACTGACATATGAGCCCCTCCCAGGTGGCAGCGGGCCACCATCCCTCTTCCTCCCAGCTCGGACTCAGTTTCCCATACAGAACCGCAAACCCTGCTCCTTCCACCTGGTCTTTAATAAATATTTTCACAGCACTGGCTTCTAGTGGCTTCCAGGAAGGACACGGAGCCAGAGTTAAGTCCTGTCTTTCCGCTCTTAACCCCACACACCCTGATCCGAGACCTGATCCATTTCATAAGCTTTTAATTTTTTTTTTTACATCAGAAAATAATATAGAGCCAAGAATCCTCTGCGGCCCCAGCTAGCCAAGGAGGCGCCGCTGACTGGAGTCCCAGGGCCAGCGGGGCTAAGGCACGGTGGTGGGGGTGGTGGCTGGTCACAAGTATACAGGCTGCTCCTGGCCTGTGAGCAGGCGATAGGTGGTGGCTGGCATGGTCTTGATGTGGACCTGGGGGATGGGAGAGGAGGCGGGGGGTTGGGGTGGGCCTGGGTTGGTGGGAAGGCACCCCCAGTCCCACCCACTGCCCACGCACCTCCGTGTGGGCCTCGGTGAGCAGTTCAATGACACGGGCATGTGGTGTGGCCACCACACTGTGTCCGTTGATCTCGATGATTCGGTGTCCCACGCGAACGCCCCCACGCTCAGCGATGCCACCCCGGAGGAGACTGCAGATCTGACGGGACAGGAAGGGGCCACGATGCTCAGGGGGCCAGGCTTGGGGCTGCCCACCCCCAACACAGTGCTCCGGGCTGGGGCCTCACAATGCCGTCCTCCACGCAGAATCCCAGCTGCTCGCGGGCGTGGGGCCGGTGAATGATGGCCGTGGTGACTGGCGGACAGTGGACGATGCTGAGGGTCACCAACGTCTGCGACTTGACCTCCTGTGCAGGACAGGGGCTGTTGGCCTAGCTGGGCTTCCGGGGGGGCTGCTGGACCTCTTGGCAAGTGGCAGCCTCCTCTGGGCCTCAGTTTATCCACCCGGAAAATGGAGATTTGGAGTCAAGGCTCTAGATCAGTGATGGCGAACCTATGACACGCGTGTCAGAGGTGACACGCGAACTCATTTTTTTGGTTGATTTTTCTTTGTTAAATGGCATTTAAATATATAAAATAAATATCAAAAATATAAGTCTTTGTTTTACTATGGTTGCAAATATCAAAAAATTTCTCTATGTGACACGGCACCAGAGTTAAGTTAGGGTTTTTCAAAATGCTGACACGCCGAGCTCAAAAGGTTCGCCATCACTGCTCTAGATTCTAGAAGACCCCTCAAGAAGCAGTTAAGAACACAGATGGGAGCCGGATGGCCTCGGGGTCGGAGCCGTGTGACCTCTCACCTCTCTGACGCCCTGGGCCTCAGTGTCCTCGTGGTCAAGTTCTAAAGTGTCTATCAGGCAGGGTTACAAGCGCTTAGTGCCCTCTCACCTCTCTGACGCCCTGGGCCTCAGTGTCCTCCTGGTCAAAAGCAAGTTCTAAAGTGTCTATCAGGCAGGGTTACAAGCACTTAGTGTCATGCTGCGTGGACTGTCAGACCCCCTCTTCTGACCTGGCGGGTCCCTCCTCATTCCTGAACCTCGCTTTCCCTACTTGGGCAACAAGGTTCGACTCAAGAACACACTTGCCGCCTCATGGCCGACAGGAAACGCTGCTGGCGTTGCCACTAGCCGCCTGCACCCCGATCCTGCTCCTGCACCGGGGAGGTCGCCCTGGAGGGTGACTTCCCCTCTCCCAGCCCGTTTCCCTAAGCTCACAGGAGCTGGTCGGATTCTACCATGTCCCTTCTGGGCTGGGTCCCAGGGACCTGTCCAGAGCAGGTACCTCTGTACCCTTCCCAGATCCATGGGGAGGCAGGCCTGCCGCCTGGGGCCCTTAAGCCAGCCCCTCTGGCCCCTGCCCCCCAGGACTCACGCGTATGGCAGCTTGGACACTGGCCAGTGGCAGCCCCACTAGACTGGTCCCGTTGATGGCAGTCAGACGGTCCCCGATGCTGAGGGACCCCGAGCGCTCGGCAGGACCCCCATGCAGCAGGTTGGCAATGACGGCCGTGGGCAGCAAGGATCCCCAGCCTGACTCCACCAGGGCCACGCCCAAGCCCTCACCCTGGCGCTTCTCGATGACCACCTAGGAGAGGACACGGGCGGGACGGACATGAGGGCCGCTCGGTGGGGGCCAGGAAGGGGGTGGCCCACCCGCTCGCTCACCTCCTTGCAGTTCTCGCTGTTGGAGAAGTGGTCGAGGTCCCCATTGTGGAGGTAGCCGGAGCCCGTGGCCCCCTGGCTTGGCTGGGTGCCCACCTGGCTGGGGTCAATGCCGCTTTCCCGCAGAAACTGGCTGTAGGCCACCGCGAAGGCCTGGCCGATGGCCTGGGCAATGAGCTGGGCCTGTGGAGGAGGGGCAGCAGCTCCCAGGGGGTGTCCCACCCTCCTTCTGGTCCCCCAAATCCCCTGACATCTTCAGAGTCCAACCCACCCACCCACCTGGGACAAGATTCCCAGGAGACAGCCTACATGGATTTTTGGGAAATAGCCACTGTCTTAGGAAATCGGGAGACAGGCCTGGGGCAGGGAAGGTTTCAGGATTCGGCACCAGCCTCACAGTCTTACGGGAAAAACGGGAATCTGTGGGACCTATTGGAGGGATGGAGAGACCTGCCAGCACGGAGGACAAGCGAGGCCAGTGGGGTAACAGCGTGGCCAGTGGGCTTTACAGGGGGGTGGGGGCACCCGGACACCGGAGCCCAGCTGCTCACATCATCCGAGTGGAAAACGTGGCAGATCATCTTGTAGAGCCGGTGGCCATGGGCCTGGGATGCCGGGCGCCGGGCCAGCCGCCGGCGGGCCATGATCACCAGCACACTGCCGATGTCGGCGATGTAGGAGATGGTCTGCAGGGCGTGGTCCATCATGGCCTCCTGGAGGTGGGGGAGATCAGGCCTGGGCAGGCTGCGGAGGCCTCCGGGGAGCCCCCCAGGCACCAGAGACGGGGCCTGAGCCCTGTACCTGGGAGTCGGCCATCAGAACCTTGATCCGCTTGGTGGAGATGAAGAGGTCCACCTCCGTCATGGGCTGGGTCTCCCCATCAGGGGCCTGTGGGGGTGGGGAGGGAGGTAGAGGAACCCAGAGACCCAGCCTCTGCCCCATCAGGCTCCCGGGCCTTGGAGGACCTAGTCTGTAGCCTGCCTGCCCACCCACCCTCCTGCCCGCCCCTGGCTTCACCTTGACGCGGTCCATGGCCTCCTGGGCCTGCGCCATTCGAGTGCTGGGGGGCGGGTTCCTCTCGGACACCAGCTGGGTGGAGCCCAGGTATTTGGCCCCAAATATGACACCATCACAGAGGTCTTCGTGGTCACAGGGACCTGATACTGAGGGCAACAGCGGAGGCAGGTCAGCCCGAGCCCCGGCCAGGCTTGTCCACCCTCATGGGTTTGGTCCAGGGTTCTGGCTGTCTGAATAGTCTGGAAGCACAGAGAAATCTATGCTCTCATGACTTGGTACTGCTGACTCACACAGGTCTGCCCACTTTCCCAGAACTATCCCACCAGCGGGAGACACACCCAGCAGCTTGGCCTTCGGAAATCTAGAACCGTGTGGTCCGGCACTTTATAGCCAGCTCTGTCCACGTCTAAGATTCCCAGGCAGAGGAAGGGGCTTTTGTGAGTCCAGCAGCACAGCTAGATTCAAAACCAGCACTGGTCGCCTGGCCATCGTGGCTCAGTGGTTAGCGTCAACCTATGACCCAGGAGGTCAAGGTTCCATTTCCGGTTCGGGCATATACCCGGGTTGTGGGCTTGATACCCGGTAGGGGGCGTGCAGGAGGCAGCTGATAGATGATTCTCATCATTGATGTGTCTATCTCTCTCTCCCTCTCCCTTCCTCTTTCTCAAATCAATAAAAAACAACAACAAAACCCCAGCACTAGTGCTAACAGAAACCTCCACACTATGTTTCTAGAATTCCATGATTAGACTAGAACCAGATGGTCCCACTCCCATTTCTAAAACCGGCAACACTATAGAACTGTAGTCAATTCACTCAATGGTTCTGGAATCTCCCCCTGAATCAATCTGGTGGCAATTAGCTCTACCCATTAGTCTAGAATTCTCCCCTATCCGTACTGAACGGTGGAAAACTCTACTCCGCAGTCATAGAACAGCCCACTCGGGGAGAAATCTAAAACTCTTCAGAAATCTAAAACTCACGCTGTCCACAACCCCAGATGGCTCTGAGTTATGTCCCTAGAACTCCCTGACAGGTTTCAAACCACAGAATTCTGTCAGGGGTTCTAGAAACCTACATCACTCCAGAATCAGACTTTTCCACTCCATGATTCCAGAATTTCTTAATCATCACAGCATCAGGTAGCTCTTCCTATGGTTCTAGAATCCCCTCAATAACTCATGACCACAGATGCACTCACGGATTCTGAGAATTACTTGAACATCCAGAAACAAACAACTCTGGGCATGGTTCTAGAATTCCCCCAAACCAGCCCAGAAACACATAAAGCTTTGCCCCCATGGCTCTAGAATCCCCTGAGCAACATAAAACCAGACAACCACTCTGCCAGCAGTTCTAGAATGTTCTAACCAATAGCTATTGCTTTTTTTGTTTTAGAACCACAGGTATAGGCCCCATTGAAGTAAACCCCATTCCTGTGTGTGAGCTTAAACTACAGATATCTCTGCCTGTTGTCCTTCATGATCTAAGCATTCTGGAACAACAGACAACTCTGCTCTGGGTTCCAGAACTGTATCATCCAATAGCACAGCCACCAGGCACATGTGGGCATGATGCACTTGAAATGTGGTGGGTCTGGATTGAGATGTGTTGTTAAATACAAAATGCACACTGAATTTTAGCTCTATGAACAAAAAGTAAAATAATTGTAAAATGTTAATTATATGTTAAAATGTTATTTTAAATACATTGGGTTAATTAAAATGAGTTATTAACCTTACCTGTTTATTTTTTTAATTTGAAAAAATATGTATTTTTAATTTATAGATTTGAGAGAGAAAAAGAGAGAGAAACAACGATTTTGCTGTTCCACTTATTTATGCATTCATTGGTTGATTCTTATGTGTGCCCTGATTGGGGATTGAATCCACAATCTTTGCAAAGTATCAGGACAGACAACTCTGCTCTGGGTTCCAGAACTGTATCATCTAATATCATAGC